GGCTACTTTCTGGCCACTGCCTCATACGACATGAAAGTCAATGTAAATACTTCTGTAATCCCTTGCCTTAGTATTTCTTTTTTCAGTCTTGTGTTTCATTTGCTTATAGTTTGATTCCAATTTCTTATATTTCGTCTACCAGATATGGTCAGGAAGAGATTTCTCACTCGTTAAAAGCTTAGCAGGGCATGAGTCAAAAGTCGCCTCTCTAGATATCACTGCAGATAGCTCGTGTATTGCAACTGTATCACATGACCGCACCATCAAGCTCTGGACAAGCAGTGGAAGTGATGAAGATGAAGAGAAAGAGAAAGAAACAATGGACATAGATCTCTAGTTTCATTTTTCATGTTTGTGCAAGGAAAAAAAAAACTTTGAATCCAGGGATTTAGAGATTAGCTTGTTAGAGAGAGTCATTAAACTGTATTTGATATCTTGTCGGGAATTATAGAAACTCAGGATGATGATACATTGTCTTTGAAAATTTTGGCATTTCGTTCAACAAAAGCAAATGACTGAACTTTGTTTGCTTGAGACTACTTCAACACGTAAACAAAAAATTACGTTGCTATATACGATTGTACAAGGAACTAAAGTAATGTTCTGTATTTGTGACTTGTCTGAAGAACAGCGGATCTAAAGATTCTTCAGGTTGCAGATTTATTTATACCAACCAGCAAGAAAGTGTCGAAGTATGAAACAGAAGGCGCACGCTAGAGCCTGAAGCAGAAACAGAGAGAGTATCACAACACGATAACGATTATTTCATTATGGTGATATACATATATTTGAGACCTACCTGCAAAACGAGAAGATGGATGCAAAGAGACTTTTCTGATTTAGGACCAAACAACCTCAAGTAAACATTGACAAGTGTCCCATCTTTTGTGCCGGTCAGTAATCCGGTAGCAGGATCATACCTGGATATTTTCAGAAGACAAGATGAGTGATGTGTCTGTTCTTTAATCATTCTACAAAAGGTAAGAAAACAAAGGTGGTTTACCTTGGGAGACGATGGCGCGGACATTTCACAATCCCAGCAAGCTGAAGAGTTATTATATATATTAGGTTAGATTGTTCAAACATGAGTTGACAAGATTATAAGTGTGCCATAGAAGAGTGAAAGTTGATATGAACCTGAGGAAGCGACAATAGAAAGTTCAGAACTTGAGGAAGAAAAAAGATGAGGAGGGTTTCACTGCAAAAGCGAAATTTCAGAACAGAAAGATGTCATGGGAATCAGTTGCATGGTCATACACTAGCTGGATATGATGATGGATCTGAGAGTTGTTAGTTTCCATGTATTAGTGAAGTGCCTGTGCCTCAGAGAAGGTAGTGGTTTAGAAGTATATACCTGAAGTGACCCAGAATGCCAACAACTGCCATAGTCATTCCGGCGAAGACTGTGTAAGTGTCTCCAACAAAAACTGAAGAAGGATACCTAACAGCAGACGATTGCGGGAACTGGTCAGAAAAGCAATACTTGCACTAAAAATACAAATTTCAAAGAGAAACCTGTGAGGGATTTTACCAATTGTAAGCAAGCATTGCCAAGGATGTGGCCATCAGCGGTTGAGTAAGAAATATCGAGAAGGCATGAGCTTGGTGATACTCGGGATCAACAGATGCTCCGATTTGCATAACATTGTGTATCAGGATCTACAGGTAACTGGGATGTATCATATCTCAACCCAAAAGGAACAAAGAGAGAAAAATTCAGAGACATTATCTATGACCATAGGACTTACAGCAGCGGCAATAACAACTGTTTGACCGATTTCAAGGCCATTCAGACCAGCGTGGATGTTAATAGAGTTAGTACAAAAGACAGCAAGTAGCCCAATATATAACTTATATATCCGTCCTGCCACATTAAAACATCTACTGAGCTAGCTAATCATAATCATTTACCTCCTCAAAATAAATAAAAAACAATTATGGAAGTCAATGTGTACACATAGGTGGTAACATGTACAAGAACAATTACCTAGATCAAGCACTTCCAAGCCAATATAAGCAACAAGAGGTTTTGGTATAACAATAGTTGTATGACCAGCATAAGCCATCAAAAGTGGAAGGGTAGCAAAAGATGGCAGGACAAGTTTTCTGTTGTTTTAAATTGACAAAAGTAAACATGTGAATCAAAATGATGAGCGTGAATTTCATCGGAAAAAAAAGATGTAGGAATCAGGACTTACACTCTCCAAGGCACATCAAGGACATCATCTACAAATCCAAGCAAAATCATGAAGCAAATAGATGCTAGTGCTGCATTATACTCCACAAGCCACTGCACAGAATCAGAAACATTGATAATGAGAAAACCACAAGGATCAATAAAACAAGACGTTGATGCACACTTACATTTGAATCTTCAGTGAAGTTAAAATACTGAAATATTATGGCCACGATCAAGAAGACAATACCAACAACAATACCCAATGACTCTGGCCTGAAAACACAATTCAAGTAGAAATGAACCAGACTAATCTTAATCTTCCAAAATCAGAGATTGATAAAAACTCACACTTTAATATCTCCTTGAGGCGTGCCTCTTTTGTTGATATCAAAACCAAACATATTACGCCTCAGAACGTATCTGGCAGCAACAGGAATCATCTTGAGAGTGACGAAGAACCCAACCAAGCTAAGCCCCGCGTTTATTAGAATCGATCGCTTGAGCTCATTGTCAACCTTGTAGTGGAAACAGAGAAGGTATAGATAGATTGAGCAGAGAAGAGTAGAGATCACGAAGATCACTCCCAATTTCGGCGGCGCGAGACGGAATTCCTCAGCGGAAGCAGAAACGGTCTTTCGGGTCATCTTCTGCTCAGATGGCGCTGAGTTGGGTTCTACCGGATCCGGTTTGTTGGAAATTGACATCGACGAAGCTCTCTTACGAGCTGCCATGGCGGATTCGTTGGCTCGTTTGGTTTCCCCGCGCTCTGGATTTTGACTCCAAACCCCGTTCGCCTGAGAAAGAGAGTTCAGAGCAATTCCCGTTTTGCGTCACAGAGACCAATAGAGATTTGCCACGTCAATGCATTGCGACACCGTGTCATCAAAATAAAACCTTAATTGATTAATCATGGGTTAACTTTAATAATTCTTCGTATATGCTTTTGCTGACAATAAAATATCTTGGATTATACTTTAAAATTCCTTTTTTTTACGAAAAAAATGCATAAATTTTGTTAAGAATTTTCTTGTAGCAACACATCACCATGACAAAAAGTAACTATTGAAAAATTAAAACTAAAATTTATATTTAAAAGATTATGTAATAATAGAGTTATTATACAACAATAGTCATACTTTTTAACAAAGTTTCTTCTAATATGAAAATTGAAATAGAAAGTTATTTATTTAGGAGATTTTTCGATTGATAAGATGAAGAAGATCCATCAGAGTCTTGCTCACTAATTACGCTTCCATCATTGAAACTTTGAGATGATCATTTTGAAGAAGAACTATCAGATGAAATCTCTGAAGAAGAGGTAGCACTCACAGAAGAAACTTGCTCACTACTTTCTTTATCCGTAGAAGTTTGAGAGCTGCTAGTAGTATCACTATTTTCATCTTTAGTTACACAACTACACCAGTTTCCCATTATTAATGTCCCTACAAACACAAAAAAAAAATGTTAGAGTTGCTAAATTATATCTTAGTTTTTTTGTAAGTGTTTTCAAATTAACTGAATAGTACTTATTGGTCTTTACTCTTTAGGATCAGTTTTTAAAATGCAACAATCACTTGTAGTTCAAAATAAGTTTTTGCGAATGTACCTTAAGAGTTATAACCTTCGCAAATCTAGAGTAAACAATACAAGTATATCAGATATGTTTGATTGGGCTGTTATGATCTCTACACAATTCTTCTTTTTATAGTGAGAGAAAAATGTCTCAAAATTCAATACAATATCTTTTACTATTTAATTAAAGTTTTTTTACAAGATTGAGTCGACCTATTATTAGAACTTGGATGCATATGGATTATGAATTATGTCTTCTTCTTTTTTTTTTTGTTAAAAGGCTTAGATTATGATTTATGTCACAAAGTTTGGTGATATTTAATCATAATCTAAACATTTTCTATGTCTTCTACTATATTTGACACTTGTGTGTAAGACATCAATTGTAAGAGGAAATATTATTGATAGTTTTTTTTTTTTTTTTTTGGATTTTGGTCAGAAATATTGAGGAAAAAAACTCATGTGTACAAAATAAAAGTAAAATTTAGTTAAGACAATAAATACGAGAGTTAATTCTTATAATAAAAAATGTTAAGTATGAAATATAAGGAAAGATAGCAAAAAGTAAGAATAAATCAACACAAAAAAAGTAAAATATAGATAACCAAAATATATATATTGTAACAACGTTACATGTCACGCATCCATACAGACAGAGACACTACGTTACGAATTTCAAATGGTACAAAGGATTCTCTTTCTATGGTTGAAAATATGTTAGAAGTTTCTTACAAAAGTATTACTTTCTTAATAATTTTATTTTGAGTTTCTCTAATTTCAACTACAGTAATTTATGTGTGTTTTTTTTCCTTTTTTTCTTATGTATAAAGATTTTGTCTATGCTGGTTTGGTATATACGAAATTGAGCATACGTCCTTGAAAAAGAATTTTAAAGTTGTAAGGGAGAAATATGTCGAGTTACTTGCAAGTAAGAAACAGATGGACAATTCCAAAAGAAATGACCTGAAGCTACAATTTCGAGCCTGTAAACAGGCGTTGTGACTTGGGAAATGATACTATTATGAAGTATATAATGTGTGGATTTATTTTGAATCGATACGTTTTTCGATCTTAATTAATCTTATATGTTTGTAGCCAAAAGAAATTCTTACAGCTTCAGATACGCATGTTTTACAGATATACACATTTTTACAACAACAAAAAGAAGAAGATAAGAACTAGGTTAAAAGTTTTTATCGGAACTACCAAGATCTATATATGTTCATCAAATGAATTTCCGTTCAATAGAAAATCACACTTGGACGAAAGTCTCTATCAACCAATACTGTCTAGCATGCATTCTATGTTCATTATGAAGGTTTGTGTAATAGTACCAAACTAGAGGAGCTGAATGGAATTGAGATTCTTTGTCCTTTTCACATTCGTTATCGAGTATTTCATTTTTCTTCTATATTTGATCTCAATTATTGGATTCTTTTTTTGTAGTAAGTATAAAAACAATGATTTGGATTGAGACAAAACTACAAGTGAGGCTGATGTGAACGGGAAAAATAGTGACGGCTTATATCTGAATTACGTTGTGAACACGTTTGTTTGTTTCATGGATTGCTAAAGTTTGGGGAGAGATCAAAGAAGCTTTAAGTAAAGCAAACGAATCATATATATTGTGAGAGGCTTTATATTTTTGTTGTTGTTTGTTTAAACTGTTTTTTTTTTAAGGTTGAAACATATTTTGAAAGGACGTCACGAAACTCGTAGATAACGCATGTTAATTTTCCAAATAAATAAATATTAAAACGATTATAAATCAAAACCCATTACTTCACATAGTGGCTACCAAGTGTATATACCAATATAAATCAATTAAAAAAAAAACAATTCCCATAAACAAAAGGAAAGTGAAGGCACTATGTGTCCCCACACGGTTCCATTGAGACAAAGGCATATGTATGTATGTGAGTATAAATATATGTTGGTTCTTGAACATCATTGCATGTTAATTAATCACACAGAAAAAAAATAAGAGTTAAATGGGAGTGTACGTAGGAAAGTATTGTTATGTAATGATAATAGTGTTAGTGTTGGTATTGGGAAAAGAAGTGAGAAGCCAATTGTTAAAAAATGGTTATTATTCAACTTCATGTCCAAAAGCTGAGTCGATAGTAAGATCCACTGTTGAATCTCACTTTGATTCTGATCCCACAATTTCCCCTGGCTTGCTTCGGCTTCATTTCCATGACTGTTTTGTTCAGGTTCCAACTACTTTCTTCTTATTTTTAATCTCAATCTTTTATCAATTATATATACAAGTTAATTGATTGATGAATATGACCTATTATTAGGGTTGTGATGGTTCGGTTTTAATCAAAGGGAAATCTGCGGAGCAAGCTGCTCTACCGAATCTTGGTCTAAGAGGGTTCGAAGTGATCGACGATGCGAAAGCCCGGCTCGAGTTGGAGTGTCCAGGAGTGGTGTCATGTGCAGATATACTTGCACTTGCTGCTCGTGACTCTGTTGACTTGGTACGCAAGATTACTAAACCTAATTAGGGTACTTTATTCCTTTAATTTGGTAAATTTTAATTACTGATATGAGCTGAGTTACGTATTTGTGTATGAAAACAAGAGTGATGGGCCAAGCTGGCGAGTACCAACGGGTCGTAAAGACGGGAGAATCTCGTTGGCAAAAGAAGCATCGAATCTACCTTCTCCACTTGACTCTGTTGCTGTTCAAAAGCAAAAGTTTCAAGATAAAGGATTGGATACTCATGATCTCGTTACTCTACTCGGTATGTCTAATATATAATTCATCTATCTCTTTTTCTATTATTTAAGAACTTTTAAGGAAGATTATTTTCTAATTTCTTGTTGAGTTTGTCGTTTTGTTTATATTAAAACTCTATACATATGTTCAAAGAAACATAAGTACTAGTGAGATCTTCAAAGTTGCAACTAAGCCATATGCTGCTGCACACATCACATGCCAACATGAAAAAAGTGGAAGTGACTAAAAGTTGGAGTGAACCTTCTTTCATTTTATTGATACTTTTTTGATATTTTAGCAAAAACTTTTTAGTTTATTATTCGTTGATTTGAGGAAGATCAAAATGGAAACAACACCTTTTTTCGTCGTCTTACTCAAAATAGATCAAGAAAATTTGCGACAACCTTTTTCATAAAGAAAAATTGGATACACCCTTGGAACAATAACGCATCTAAAAGATATAATTAAATTTTATGAGGACAGGTGCACATACGATAGGCCAAACGGACTGTCTCTTCTTCCGTTACCGTCTATACAACTTTACGGTGACCGGAAACTCCGATCCAACCATAAGTCCATCGTTTCTTACACAGCTCAAGACTCTTTGTCCTCCCAATGGAGACGGTTCAAAACGTGTTGCTCTTGACATTGGTAGTCCCTCAAAATTCGATGAAAGTTTCTTCAAGAACTTACGCGACGGCAACGGTATTCTAGAGTCGGACCAACGGCTTTGGTCGGACGCCGAGACAAATGAAGTGGTGAAGAAGTATGCGAGTCGTCTTAGAGGTTTGTTAGGGTTTAGGTTTGATTATGAGTTTGGTAAAGCTATGATTAAGATGAGTTCCATTGATGTAAAGACTGACGCTGATGGTGAGGTTAGAAAAGTTTGTTCCAAGGTGAACTAGTTTGAATAAAAACATATGTATTCTCTATCGTTCAGATTTTTAATCATTGAATGCATGTTACGTAATTGTCTTTCAATATTCTTCTTTCATTTTTTTTTTTTTTTGTCTCGAAAAAAAAGTGAGTTTTTTGGATGGTAAAATATATAGTCTATACTATTTAATTTGGATGGTAAAATAGTATAGACTATAGTCTTTATATATCTATACGTTTTCCCCTTCAAAATACTGTAATTACGAAGGTTAATGTTCTTTAGTCAACAAATGGGCAATCAAAGTTTTTCCTTTCGTTTTCAAGATTTTTGATGCCACAGTGATTATAAAATTTCAATAGGAAATAATATAGTCAAAGAAAAATAAATGTAATGAATTTTCTGTTTAAGAATAAAAAAAATTAATAATGGTTTCCATTTTTACTAATAGACTCTTTACCCTTTACTAAATTCCCTTTCTATCAATGATTGTTATCCTTTTTATAGTGATTTGAGCAAAACTAAGCATATATAGGACAATAAAATTCTGGTTGGCAAAAGAAAACCAATTAGATTCTGACAAACGAACAAAGAATATCAACTTCTCCCATTTATTAAAATACGTGTGATCCTTGTGTCGGTCTCTTAGATAATTTTGTTTGGTTTGGTCCAATCTCCAAAAACCACTAAGATCTGACCATTTTGTTCATCGACTTTTTCAACTAAAAAAAAATGCTCAGATTAGCGATTTCTTTGTTTCTTTTGGCATTATGCTCTTTGACATCATTTTCTTCAGCAAGATCCTTCATCACCACAAAACCTCTTCCGATTGATTCATTTCTCCCTAAACCAAAGCTAGAGGTAATTAAATACCATTTTCGATTCATTGCAAAATTATGATCCATGGATTGCATAGACTACTGATTGATTTTATTTATATTTTGGATTAAAAATTCAGAATACGGGTGTGTGTTCTTACACGGTGATCATTAAGACAAGCTGTTCCTCCGTGTCTTACACTAGAGATAAGATCAGTATATCGTTTGGTGATGTCTACGGCAACGAGGTGAGTTTTTTTTCTTCTTTAAAGTCAATTCTTGATTTTGGATCTACAAATATCAACAATTCGGATTGCTTCCTCAATGCTAAATGAATCCGTAATCAATCGAATTTGATTTTCGACATATTTTCTGGAATTTTAGTTTACAACAACCCGGTTCAGAATATCCAAGTAGATTTTTGCTTTGGTAAGAAACTTGAATAGCTTCTGGATCTTGAGATCCAAGAAACTTGGGCTTAGGTTTGAGTGTTTGACCAATCCTCTTCCTAACTGTCGCCGCCTAGTCGCTAGCCAAGAATCTTGGATTTGTTTATTATTATTTTGAACAATTTTAAGTTCATCCCATAAAACAACAAAATTAAAGTATAGTATTAACTTGCATTTTAGTAGTAACGATGATGCATACTCAAGAGGTTTTAGACATGTTAAATTATCTTTGTTTATTTGTCTAAGATTAGGGAAAATAAAAGAATATTTTGGCTTTTATAAAGTAAATAAATTTTTTTTTGTTAAGGTGTATGTGAAGAGACTAGACGATCCATCCTCGAGGACGTTCGAAAAGTGTTCTTCAGACACATACAAGATATCGGGACCGTGTATGCGCGACGTTTGTTATCTCTACCTTCTCAGGCAAGGATCCGACGGCTGGAAACCAGAGAACGTTAAGATCTACGGCTCATCCATCAGATCAGTCACTTTCTACTACAACCTCTTCTTGCCTAACTCTGTTTGGTACGGCTTCAATGTCTGCAATGGCATTGGCATTACCAAGTCTTCTCAACCCATCAGTACTGCCTCTTCCGTCGCTGCTATGTAAGATTGATATAATCTGTGAATTGCTATTTAAGGGAGAAGAAACACATGGAGATATACAAGTGTGTTGATCATGAGTGTATTTTGTGAGAAAACATGTATGTTGATGCTTTGATTTGATGTACTGCAAGTGGCTACTTGCGAAGTGGCCTAGCTTCTTTTTTTTTTTTTTTTTTTTGATATAGAATAAAAATAGCATGCAAAATAAAGTAGTATTGCAACTACTCCAAATTGATCAAGAAAGACGAAAAAGGTTATCGGTTGTGTCTTGTCTTCGGAAATTTGGAGACTGGTTTTCTCAATGTTAAGTCCTCGTCGCTGTCTCATATGCAACTGGTCTGAACTTCTCTCTTGGATGCGATTGTCATCATCGGCCCCTTCTTTGATTCGAAAAGTAGCTGCCCAGTCTTTGGTTTATCAGATTCGGAGGCAGAGGAATAATGTACTTCATAACCAGCAGTCCATCACTCCTCCGATCATCTTTAAACCATTGGTAGAGAGGTCCACAACATCATCTCTGTTCGTAGGCATATGAAGCGTTGGAGAAATCTAATGCGCTTTTGGATTCATTCTTACCCAAAATCAAATTAATCAATTGTAATCTTGTTTTTATCTTTTTTCTCAAGATTACTTCATTATGATATTCACAATCTTAGCCAAAAAAAAAAAAACTAAAAAGTTAGGGTTTTGGTGGCTTTGATACCATATAAATTAGGAAAACTAATTACTTGTGAGTTGTGACTAAACTACGTCCCTTGTTAAACAAGTTAAACCCTATACAAGTGAATATTCTCATCCTTATCATAAGTTCATAACATAGATCTTAACCAAACAAACTCTCAATCGCTCCATGTTTTTGTAGAAGGCGTGTTAGGATCTCTACTTTTGAAAGTATCTCTATTTTCTTTTCAGTTTTGTCTATATCTCTATCGTTTATTTGTTTTATTGTTTAGGTCCCAAGGATGACGGAACTGGCTTTTGACTTGGTCTGTGAGATACTTGCAAGGGTTCCAGTTAAGGACTTGCTACGGTTTAGATGTGTCTGCAAAAGCTGGCGTTCGTTGTTCCAAGATGAGGGGTTCATCAGAAAGCACATAACTCATGCCCCGAGTATGTTTCTACTGGCGGATTGGTGGCCACTGTCTACACTGCGCACTTGTACTTACGAAGGTCGTAAGCTAAAGATGGTATTGCAAGAGCCTGAATTGAACAATGGTGGAGAGAAAGACTTTCTTTTCAAAACAAGTGTCATCGGTCATTGCGATGGACTCTTTTGTTTAGAGCTTCAAGACACTTCTTTGGCTGTTTGTAACCCTGCTTTGAGAGAGTTAACAAAAGTACCTAGAATCGACCAACAACAAACTCGGGGTATGAGGATAGGTTTTTGTTACGACCACTCAATTCAAGATCACAAAATCGTTTTGATGCCGCTCAAGAATTGCTCTAAAGCACATGTGTTGACACTTAAGTCCAGTGTGTCTAGGATGATTGATTTCCCATGGAGGCAAAATTGTGAGTTGATGTGTAAAAAAGAGGGAATCCTGGTGGGTGAATATATCTTCTGGCCGCTATATGCTCATGAATCTACCATTGAAAACGGCGAAAACATCCTGAGCTTTAGTGTGGTGTCAGAGACATTCAACTACTGCTCTGGTCCTGGTGGAGAGTCTAGAGTTTTAAAGGTGTTGAGAGGAAGTCTATGTGCAGTGGATTATAAAGACAGAGAAAACTACTGCCATGATATGGTGGTTTGGTGTGCGGACCATGAAAAGGAAGACAAAGGTCGAATCAAATCTTGGACCAAGATCTTGACGCTGACGGCATCCGATATTCAAAGGTCAACACGTTGGCAGGTTGTTGAGTTTCGGCTAGGAGCTGTGATTAACCGGTCAGGATTGTTGCTTGTGCTTGTTCAGACACGTGAAATAGGATTTATACTATATGAATACAACTTGGAGAAGGATACAATGAGACAGGTTGATACTTGCTACAAATTAAATTACCTCGACAATCTGGAGGAGTATATTGCAAGTCTTGTTTCCTACTAGACCACCACCTCTACTAAGTGTTTAGCTTTTAGTTTTTATGTTTTTATAAATGCTATGTCTTCACAACATTGATTCTTACTTCTACTCAATTGATGGGTTAATTTGTTGTTTCTATTCCTTTCGTTAAGTGAATAAGAAATGCAGTTAGAGCAATGAGAGTAAACCATACCCATAGATTGGACAAGACTCAGATTGTTTGGAGCCTTTTTACTGATAGATATATTATTCCATATTTTAAATGAGCAAGCTCTCTGTAGAAGCAAAACCTGTGAATCTCTAGATAAAAGCTACTAAAGACTTTACCCAAATCAGAGCTTGAGAATAAGGCCAATAGGGCAATGATCACTTCCATTGATATCAGGGAGGATGTAAGAATCATGGACATCGGCTGCAATTGATTCGGACACCAAGAAGTAGTCCAGTCTCCATCCTGTTTCACACCATCTCACTAGTTTAAAAACCAAACATATGAATCTAAAAATGTATCAAACAAACTTAGTTACCTCTGTTGGTTTTGCGGCCACCATGGCGATAACCCCAATAAGTGTAACCGACAACACCAGGATGTTGCTTTCTAAAGGTATCTACAAATCCCTTGTCTAAGAAGTTTGCACCAAAGGACTGCCTTTCTTCTATTGTAAAACCAGCACTTCTTTTGTTCCCCTAATTATAAGATATGGTGGAATATTATGAAAACCAAGAGATTACTTTCCCCTGAAAAAAAGAGGAGGGAAGAAGCATTCGAGTTAGTTACCGCAGGATTGAAGATGTCAATTTCTTCATGAGCACAATTTAGATCACCCGTCAAGACTACAGGCTTAGACTTTTCCAGCTCCTGCAGATGCAAAAAGGCCATTGAACTTGTGTAAGAGGACGAATACAACAAAATAAAGAAACTTTGAAGAAAAGTTTCATACTTTGATGTGATTGCTAAGGGTTCGATCCCATTCTTCGATCCTGTATGACTTGAAAACCCACGGAATCCATTCGTTAGAATAAAAAGAAAAGTAGAATATATATGTCAACCATGGCAACTAAATGCAATAAATTTGAGGAGTACCAGTCTTTTTAAGCCATCTCCGGAATTAGGGACATAAGTATTAATCAAGTAGAAGGAGTCGAATTCAGCAGTTACAATACGCCCTTCCATGTCATGATCAGATCCAGATAGACCAGTACCATATCTAACTGAGAGTGGTTTTATCTGTCAAAAGACCAAACTGATTAAAACACATACAATTCAATTAAACATATCAGATAACATGGAAATGAAATAACAAATAAGCACATTCTTCTGTTACCCGTGAGATTATTGCAGTTCCAGAGTAGCCTAGTTTTGAGACGCTGCAGGACCAGAAACTATGATCATAGCCATCAATAAGAGTTTTCTTAATTTCCTCAACATCCTTAACCTGTCATAAGTTTGATAGATGTCTTCAGTACAAGAAATTTCTAAATTGGCTATGTTCAAAATATAGAGCAGAAATAACTTAATAAGGGCCTAAAGTTATGACCTGGAGTTTAGTCTCCTGCAAGCACAAGATATCAAAATTTTCTCTTTGGGCAAGCTGCAGAGCAGAGAAGCTCTCTAACTTCAACAATGCTCTCAACCCATTAACATTCCAAGTCATAACCTTCACACACTTGGTACCCTCTGGTAGAGGGGGAGGTCTCATTGTCTTTGGGTTATAAGCTTTCCAGTCCTTCTGAGGCTTCTTATGAGCAAGTACAGTCCACGGTTCACTTTGACTCAGGGATGAGATCATTTCTTCAGTTTTCAGTAATTCACTAGAGATGGTCGATGATGCTTCCTCTTTTGAATGAATTTGCTGCTTACCTAGGAAGATAAATTACACGCAATGTTTTATAATACTCTATGAAGATGCAGGTATTTATTACACAGAATTCGTTTATTTTAACACGTGAAAAACCTGTTTTCGTCAATGACTTCCGTTCTTTCGAGATGGCTTTCGCAGAAACTTTAGCTTTCAAGTTTTCCTCAGTAGACTGTTTTACTCTTTTTTCTCCGTGTTCAATGCCATAAGCTTCAGAGTTACTGCAGTCATCTTCAGTAGGCTCTTCCATGTTTCTGATCTTTCTTTTGATCATAACACTATCTGAACGGGTGGACGAAGTAGTTTCCTTTTGATCGGAAACAGAACTTTCATCTGAAATTGATAAACAGGCAAGGACTTGGTTCTTACTTAAAGAGAAAATGTAGAACAGACACAGCTTCGAACCAAAATTCTTTACTGCTTTCACCAGATAATCAGAAGCTATAGCAGTTTTGAGACTTTCCATTCTAATTCAAATGGAACAAGCTTAGACAACCACTAAATGCAAACAAGTTCATGCCTTTTTCTCGATATGATACATGAAATAGAAAAGTGTGTGTTCTTGGTGTGCAGTTACATACCAGGTAAATTGCTGTCCATATGAAGTCGTAAAGTTGAGATAAGTTCTTGTTTGCGTCCTTTCACAGGTAGCCCAAGTTTCCTATAATCAAAACCACAAAAATGTTCCACATGTTTAAACAATGAACAAGAATCTGGATGTCCACAGAAACAATAACAAAGCAGCAAGAGAAAAGAAAAGAATAGAAACAGAAACTTGCCTCAATGTGGCTCTAAGTTCTTGAACCGTCATCGCCTCAATATCCTTTTGATCATCTTGAAGAGTTCCCATTTCAGCTATACCACTATCACTTCCCTACACATCAAAACCAACAATTAAACAAGCAAACCAAAAAAAAACTTAGCTACTAGTGCAAGTGAACTGAATAATCCCAAACTTAGTACAAACCATCTGATGACAATTCTGATCAGTAGCTGCTCCTACTATCTTGAGTACCTCCTTTCCCTTGCTGTTGTTGATAGAGAAAGGTATAGATTTAACTGTAGCATTTGACATAAGCCTCTTGTTGACACTTCTCGTTCCTACTCCAACACCAACGATAGATGAACCAACTCTTAAACTCCTAATAGGCACCACCAGAAACCTAGAATCATCATCATCAATCACGAATTTTCACACAATAGAATTTTGGAAAACATAAAAAGATGAAAAAAGGTCACACCATTGAGACTCCTAAACATGAGCTAAATGAAACAGAACCCAGAAGAAATCCGAAATCAACGAGTAAAGGGTTTGATTTGTCCGAAACGATTCAGAAGATAACAACAACACAGAAAAGCCCTAAGAAGAAGAAGCGATAATCCACTAAACAAGTCGAATCAGTTATTAACAGATTTAGACAGAACCGTACTTGGCGACATTGATGACGGAGCTCTGGAGACCTAACTGAAGAACCTTGTTCATCGAATAAAGGGCTCGAGACTCGAGACTCCAGAGGAAGGAGAAGCAAAAGAACCGCCAAAAAAGAGCGTCTTTTCACATCGCGATACCGATTCCACTCGCTCAACGCTCGTACATGACACGCGCCCACTGTCGTTGGTCACTCTAAAACGCTAGTCTTTTTTTTTTTTTTGAGCAACCAAACGCTAGTCTTAAACACAGACACTATCATGATTCATTTTTATACCAAGATCAACAGCATTCCACATAGAATGTATATAAATGGACCAAGTAGATCCACAAAGCCTGCTCTAATGTTCTTCTTGTATAGCTAAAACCTAAGCAAAAAGAAAAACTTGGTGAAAATGTACAGAAAATCTCAGTTACAACTCTCTGCAAATTTTTGAAGTCTATCTTCAAGAAAGTCATAAACTCATAATTAAACATCTTGGATTGTTTCCAATCCTGGAGATGATTTCGGTGGTATCGCTGATGCTTCTTGAGATTCACCATCAAGATCAAACTCCAACACCTTCCTAGTAGTTGCTTGAGATGATTCTCTAGTAATGCTTGAGGTTGAAGATTTGCTTCTATTCCTTGAGAGAGACATGTGAGCTGAAGTTACCACTGAGCTGAAAACACCGGCTTCTCTTAGCTCTTGGATTATAACCTGAGAAAGATGTTAGCTTTGTTCAATCAAAAGCACTTTTGTAGATTTGTAGATTTGTAGATTTGGTAGTAAGAATAACTGACCATTGGTGCATAAATGCGAGTCAGAATTCCCTTCCTAAGAAGCTTTAGGATCAAATTGTCGTCAGTCCATACAACTCTTTCTCTGTACCATTGAAGCATTTCCTCTGAAGTTGAAGTTGAAGCAATGATGAATGCCTGCAAAAACAAAAAAGCAGAATGTGATGAACAAGAACTATACCAGTCGACAAAAAAATATCAAATCCTAGCTTACGGCTCTGTCAAATTCTAGCATGAAACATCTCTTGACATCCACTTTTGTTGGTTTGCAGCCACATCGATCACGTCTTGAAGTAAGATCTGAAAATTTCGAGTAAGTGTAGTGAAGAATCGCAGCTTCGCTTATTTCCATGATGCTGTCACAACAAAGATGAAATCAATGTCAGATTACATCAGCAAAAGAATGGATGTCTATGTCGTCTAAGCCAAGTGAGGAAAAGATCATACTTTGGGTACTTCACGTAGTTGTGCCATCGATGAGCACCATTGGGCCGAAGATGGTCTTGAATCCGAGCAGCGGATTTCCCATTTGCATAGGTAAGAAAATAATTCGGATTGCCACGAGTTGCCTCTTTATAGTTTCCATAGTAAACTTCTCTAGGAAGATGTTTGAAATTCTTCTTGAACATTGATACCTAAAATTAAGTTAAAAAATAAACACTTTTAGATATGTTAAAGATAAAACTCATATGAGCATACATCCCAAGATAAGAAGCTCTAGATGATAATGTTCTGTACCTCAGTGAAAGGTTCTTTGATATCATCTCTCTCAACGCTGCTCTCCTGAAACAAGAACATTTGTGAGTTATCCACATCGTCAAACAAAAGAAAAAAAAAACAATTCCAATGTTTTCAAAGACTAACATAATTTGTAAAGATAACTCCATCCACATCTGCAGGAACATCTCTGAGCAAATTTCTCAAGGAATATTCACGGGTTCCAGAAGGATGTACAAGCTCATCAGTGTCAAGATGCAGTATCCACTCCATACCAGCATCCTATAATATACCAAGCAAAAGGAGAAAATGTGAAAAAGTTGGCAATGCTATAATTTATCTTTCTAGTGACTAACTGAATGTATATTGAGTCAAATGCAACAAGTACCCTTGCCATAGTGATAGCCATTTCCATATTCAGGTTTTGTTTCACGAATAATTCGTAATTACATGGTTTGTAGAAAAACTTCTCCAACCAGGTCTCATTCCATATCCGGCTATAAACCAAAGAAAATGTGATGAAACTTCAAACTTAAATAACACCTCTACAACAACCATTTCTAGAGGTGACCTGTTTTGATACATCAAGACCCAAAGAAGCAAAACACAAGAGCGCACCAATGTCTAGCTCTCTCTAACCAGAGGTGGTTCCTTCAAATCCTCCATTTTTAATACCTAGATGGCTCTAAAGCCATAACTTAATGACAAACAAAACACAAGAATACCTTTTAGCTTGTTCTTCTTCTAACTCTCTTGTTCTGTATATAACATTTACACCCTGCAAACAAATATTGTCATTGTGAAAAAGAAGGCAACACAACAAAATCAAGATTCATGAACAAATCAATTGTAACAAAACAAGACTCGTAAAAGCTCACAGGGATTGTCTCCAAAACTCGAGACACATTTGGGGAAGCAGCAGTGCCTTCAACAAATAGAAAAAAAGTTGAAACTCCAATGACCTTGTGATAGAAAATCCATGGCAATGTCTGCTCTAATCCAGCAGAAGTGCTCGTAGTAATACATATCTACAAAACCAAGGAAAAAATCCGATTTTTTCATCATCAAATGAATCAAGTCTCAAAACACATCAAATTGAAAGCCAAGAGTTCTAACCTTAGGCTTAAGACCCGGCTTATGATCAAGCTTCCAATCTCGGAGATAAGGAAACGATTGCGTACGACTCTGACCCAGAAGAGAAACGCAGCTCGAATCAGAGCGAAGGGAACGTTTCTCGGAGACGGTGACCATTCCGGGAAACGGATAGTTATCATCAAACCACTTAGTAACCGAATCGTTGAATCCGCTTCGCCATTGGAGGAGGAAGGCGAAACAGGCTAAGGAAAGAGGAAGAAAGGTGATTAGAAAGAAAATGCGCGAGGAAGACGAATCTGATGAAGTTGGTTTTGAGGAGGAAGAGGAGTAGAGACCCGCCATGTGAGGATGGAGCAGGAATTGTATGTAGAGGTTGTGATTTTGAGGGAGACGATACTTTGAAACTGAAAGGAGTTTTTTTTTTGCATTTAAAGGAGCCGTTTTTATCAGTTGTGATCTCTTCAAGCTTCGCGCTTATTTATTGAATAATGGATTATTACTTAATTGGGAATGGGCAGATTTGCTAATTTAATTTCGGACTTTTGACTTCAAGTTTATTTATACTAATGCCTTATTTAGCAAAATAAGATTTTTGACTCATTCTGCTAAAGTTTTTTTTATTTAAATTAGGGGATTACCAAAAAAACTTAAAAACTTAATAAAACGATATTTTACTTCCAAAGTTTGATTTCTGCTAAAGTTTTTTTTTTTTTTAAAGTCATTGCTGTAAAAGAAAATGGCATTTAAGTTGAGTCCAAAACTGAAGAAGTAATCAGTCCTTGGTAACGCCGATTATTTGGTTTTTCTACCGTTTTTTTTTTTGGGTTACATTTTCCATAAATAAATGCTAAATATTCATTAGCTAGGACTTAAACTTATGCTGATTAGTTGACAAAAAAAAAAAAGGACTTAAACTTATGCTTAAGGTTTAATGCTTTAGATAAACCTTGTTTATTAGTGCAGTTTATAATGGCTCAATGCTCGCCCTGCTAAGACTTCTCTAACATTTGAGCTGATTTGAGATCATGAGCTGCCGTGTAAATTCAGAAACCAAGCAGCAAACTAACAACTTTTCTTGAGAGCTGCCTGAATCTGAAATCTCTTACCTTGGTGATGATCTGCTCAACCCAATGAGTTTTTTTTCATTTCTATGAAGATTCTGCGTATGTTTTCCATTGTGTTTTAATCCTCTCTTTTTTCCCTCAGGTATTGTATAGAGGTTATGACGTAAGCTATGACGAGGGGATAATTAGTTTACAATTTGTGCCCAAGTGTTTGCTATCGTCTCTAGAGAAATGTAGATTGTTGATTTCAAAGGATTCAGCAATCTCGAGAAATGTAGATTGTTGAAATCAAAATAAGTGCCAATCTCGGGACTTGCTGGAGAAATGTAGTAAGGTACTTCTTAGAGAATTCAGAAATGTAAATTGTATCAACCTTCAATTTTTTATTTTTATACATAAGATTGGCGACTTGAGCTTCTTAGCCTATCCATTCAAGCTCCGACAATGTCTCAACATTTTCATAAAACCCAAAAGTAAAAGATAAGTGAAATTTTCCAAGCTAAAGATCATAGAGGTCTCGAGTTTGAATCATCATCATAAGGACTCAACAAACTGAGGAACTTGCAAGTCAAGTTGTTGCTTCATGACACAGTTCATTAACCATTCGCTGCTGAATGTCCAAACTCCTTTCTTTGCTGCAAATAATGCCCCGACAGTGTCTTCTTCGCACCCTATGTATATCGCCTTTGACGGCTCCTTTACCTTATTCACTCCACTTATCACCTGCAGATTTCCCATGAATATTACAATGTTTTGGATTCAAATGTGAAACACGTGAAAGAAGTGGTAAACTAATATGTACTTACATTTCCACCAGCAGATTTGATGATAGCAGATGAAGTTTTAATAGGCAACTCAATGTTAGGTCCAACGCATATGTCATATCCTTTTAGCAACGAGTTTGGTCTAGCTTTTGCTCTAAGCACTGAGATTTTTAGATCAGTATCATATTTCAACTGGTAGTCTTCGTCCTGCAGTATGTGGGAAGCTTCATCTATTTGATTAAAAACCGAAAAATGCAGCATTAGAATTCAGGCAACTTGAGAATAAATGGATAAATCAAAAATGTTTGTCTCATCTTACTAGCAAATCTTCCTTCTCGGCAACTTTCTTTTAACCAACTTGGTGATACTATCCAAGCCCTGCAAGCAAGTATGATGGACCATAAACCGCGTTATTCCTATGATTTTATGCATAATTTCACAATGGTTATATAAAGCCAGTAACTTTGAGACTAACCCAGAGCAAAGAGCAGTGCAGAAATTCAGAGTTTTCCTGACTTTTCCGGTGACAATATGTGTGCTCATTGTACCATCCAAGGTCACAACACCACCAAGTTTTCTTACTACCTGCACAGAAATCAAAAGAAAACATAAGGTAAAATAGAAAACACATCTAAGGAACATATGACATAGAAGTAGATATATATACCTCTGTTAACCAAGCTCTCTTGTTTTCATCACAAATGTCCATCAACAAGATTCTATAGTGTTGTCCATTTGGACGAGCTTCCATGCCTATCCCAGTGCCCGTTCTGCATTGTTCAACATCGTTTCTTTTGCAAATTGTGGGCAGAGGATCCTTGGTTATATCCACTTGGGAGGAAGAACAATCTTTTGATTGCTTTGAAGAGCTCTGAGCCAAATCTGTTTTTGCTATCTCAGTGTCATTATTGTTGTTTGCCCTAATCCTTTTAGATTGTAGAGAGGACAATGAAGCTTCCCAAGATCTCTTGTGGTAGCTTTGGAGCAAGCCTGGTGTTGAACATTTGGTCTCACTGTCAGCTGTGGTAGCTTGATCAGAGATCACTTTATTGTTTTCCTTTCCTATGGTCGAGTCCATTGGACTTCTGATACCAGAGAGACCTATGGCACATTATAACAGAAACTTCATAACAAATTCAAACGCTTCACGATGTGGTACCTTCATCTATTTATAGCCACATTCTCTTAGGCTATATTTGATGAAAACAGTTGAAACAAATTATTAGGATCTCAACAAAGAAAATAGTTTTAAAACTTACAGTCAAGATATACGCTTTCACCAAAGCTCTCTCCAAGTTTAACTGAATCTCCAGTCACAGGACCTGTGCAATTATTTCTTGCTGAGAGTGGAGATCCCTCACACTGATATTTCCATGAAGAGGGAATCTCAAGGTTTGCATGATTAAGAGAAGATTCCTTTTTCAGATGAGAAAGCATGAGAGTTGAACCGCCCGGAAAACACAAGGCTTTTCGAATATTAGACTTAATGTGCAACCCCCTTGCTTTTCCTTTGTGGTCTACCTCTGCTAATTTTACATATCCCTGGAAAATTCGTAAAGAGTTACAGGATAAATCAGATAGCCGAAGGACTTCAAAAGATAGTTTAGTTTGAATCCAATAAACTTTGAAGATAGAATTTCAAGAGCAATAAAAATAGTGATAATAATCACCTGTTTAAGCCAGAATCCTTCAGATTCTTTGTCTGCCCAACAGTATATAGTTCGAATGCCAACACTATGAAGCCTCTTCATTAATTCTTCATATAAAAGTTTACCAAAACCCTGAAATGTATTAATAAAAACCTATCTATTTTGTTTTTGATGAGGTTCCTAGCAATCTTTAGTAAAAGCAGTTGCAGAAAGAAAGAAAAAAGAGTACAAAACTACAAAACACTTAAAACCAAGTATGCAATATCTAGACATGTACTATTAAACACAACACATTAAGTAAAGCATTTCACAATAAGAACTATTAGAATTTCTGAAACTGTTGCCAACAGGGAATGCAGGAGTTTAGATGATGACTTATAACAGTAAGTGTCAAAGAGTCAGAGCAACACGAACCTTTTTCTGGTGTGTATATGTTACAGCAGCAAGAGGTATCTCAGCATACTGTGTATCAGCAGGGACTATTTGATATGTGATTGCAGCTAAGATCTACAAAACACACACGCCAAATAATCAATTCAGATGCAATGAAGCAGAAAGTCTAAAATGTGATTCATTGGCAGATTATATAAAACAGAAACTCCCTTTTGGAACGAAACAGCAAACTCTTATGTGCAAAAAAATTCAATCAAATTGTGAAATGTACATAACATTCATCCAGGGCCTAAGCTGCTTTAGATCAAGGACTCACTAGAGCAAATAACTAAGGCTGAGTAATTACCTCATCTGAGACTCCACCAAGCGTGGACTTCAAAACCAAAGAACAATACTTTCTGCAAGATAGTGAAATTTTCAAACAAAGCATTATAAAGCTTCCATATCAATCTGATTAATATCAAATGGGTTCCATTCTCAATGATTTAAGTGAAAAATGGCCAAAAGAACTCTCTATAATGAAACAAATAAAGAAGGGTTATGATAAAGAGAAGATTTTTACCCTTTAGAGACACATCTCTCAAGGAATGCAGATTGCTTCCCAGTGTTTGAAGCATATTTCATGTCTGGTAACTCTTTGCTATATAACTTCAACACTTCCTGAATGAGTTAAGTTACTAAAGTTAATGCCTTTTTCTCAAAAGAAATCAATAGTCAAGTGCATTGGTAAGAGTCCACTTACTTGGAGATGAGATTTGGTAAACTCATCTTCATCCCGAGGATTAAGAAGAAGAAACATGTCTTCTTTCGGATAATCAGAAACGGTTTTATCCTTCTCTGCACAAAACCAAAGGAAACTAATTAAGAGATTATGCAAAAAAGTTGAGAACTTTAACGTTTGTTACACATTTTGCTAGTAGCCGCATAACATCAACAGATAAAAATGAATTAGATAATCATATCATAGAGCCCAAAATTACTAATAATCAAATTAGAGTGGAAAAATATAAAATCCGCAAGAACCCAAATTCTAGACGAACCTGATATTTTTACTATGTTGTTTCTGGGAAATTTGATTTGGATGCTTTTGGGTCCGGATTCACAGGTGAAATTCTTACCATCCACTGCAACCTCGTAATCACCTGGAGAAATCGAATCAAAACACACAGAAGATTTATTTTATTGATCGGAGTGCTGAATAAAATCAAGGGCTTCCCGAGTTTTTACCGATAGGGTACAGAGAAGACTGCATCGGCGATGCTCTCTTTGGCGCCATTGTAAATTTAGAGCGGGATTTCAAAATATTTACTTTCCAGAAAAATGAAAATATAAAACGAAACGTCGAGTGTATAAATAAGTTTATCAAAGGGTATTTACGTAATTAACGTAGGTGTCATAGAGGAAAAATCTTCAAACAAAAAAGGAAACAACGTAAAAGCTCTGTTCTAGCTAAACCGCTGCGTTTTGAAGCGTTTCTGATCGTCTGACTAATCATTTTTTTGAATGTCAAATCGACGACTTGTGGAGTAAAAAAACAAAGCTTCAAGACGAGAGTTTTCGCATCAGACGAAAGTAAAGTCTCATTTTTGTTGGAAATTTACTAAGTCCTGTTAAAATTTGGAAATGTCTTCGGTATCTCAATTCCAAACGCGAAGATGAACTTGGTGTCGTCGGCAATGTCTGCAAGTGAAAACATGCGTGACGACTTTTTGCATCTGTACATTAGAATGAATCGAAATGAGATGCAAATGGTAGATATCAGGAAGGATCTAAGCATTAATGCCTCTTTGCGTGTAGAATGAATAAAACTGTTGCCTGATTAACAGTATTTGGTACCATTATGATGTAATCGACATCCTTTTCTTAGCCACCAACCTTGTAGTCTTTAGAGAACTGATCATTTTTAGTAGCTGAGACGTGAAAAGCATCTATATTTGAGCTTCTGCGATGACTTTCTTTTCGTCTTAAAGCCAAAGCAACATTGATGCAACTGCTTCTGGTAGACATCACCGATGCAGGATAACTGGATAAGACTTTGGTATGAATTGCACAGAGAGAGGTGGGAAATAAACTCTAGTTCTCATTTCTCTTCAAAGTTTACATTTTTTTTTATGTTTTTACATTTTTGGTGATAACAAGTTGAGAATGAACATCATAAAGGTACAAAGTTACAGATTTTTTTTGTGGAAGCAAATACTAAAAATTACAAAGGTACAGTGGTGGTGGCTAAAGATACAGGACCAAACTGCTCTGACTTCTGACTAGTTAACAACATACCAAACCCTCTCTTCTTCAGCGAGGCTGGTGGATGTTTCTTGGAGCAGCAACCCTCTGGTTTCCCCATTTTGCTGGCTTTTCCGCATACTTAGCCGGTTCCACAATCGATTTCGGACTCCTGTTTCCAGTTGATTTCCTAACCATCTCACCATTCTTTCCAAAGCCTGATGATAGACATAACTATACAATTAGTCTCGACATATCTGTTGATCTCGGATTGTTTTGTGTATCGGGAAATCAATCCGACTTACCGAATTCGGAAGGTGCTTGGTAATACATTCGTCCATCGAATCCTTGATCAAACTCAGCAGCATCAGTGTCAAAGAAATCTTCCATGTCATCAAAATCAAATGATTCTGGAAGAAGATCAGCTACATCAACCTGGCCTCCACCATTTTCATTCTCTCCATTGTCATAGAAACCATCTGGACCTTGATGCTGGCTGATCCAGTAGTCATGGTACCAAGTCGAAGTTGTCACCAATTGCCACCACTCCGGTGAGAAATCTTCCACTTGTCGTACAGCTGCCGGAACAAAGAGAGGTGCGTCGGGGTTTAAAGTAGATCGTCTTCCTGATACCATCGCCATTCTTAAAACTTTAGATCTGCACATACAAACCAAACAAACAAGTTCAGCTCAAATTCAAATCTAACAATTCAATCACAACATAGCTTAATCCTAGCACGCATAGTTTCCAGATAACACAGCGAGATCAATAGATCTGTATATTTTCCGATCAGTAAACGCAGCAACGACAAGTTTCCGATAGATCACTTGAAGCTGGACAAGTACAAGTTTGAAATCGGGAGATCTGAAGATAAATCAAGTTTTTAGATAGATCAACGATCATCACAAAGATCTAACACCAGTAGATACAATCACTTCATTTCTAACCACGGAAACCAATCAAATCCTTCAAAATCCACCAACTTCAAACATAGAAACTCATAGAAATTGATCGAGCAGAAGAAGAAGAAGACAACATCAGATCTTTACCTTGGCTGAGGAAAATATCTGCAGCTACTTGCTCAAGTTGATTGATAAAAATATTTCTTCTTCTTTTTAAAAAGCGAAACGGATTAGGATCATTCACCAGAACCTACGTTGCGAGAAGATGAGAAGAAGAAGGACTAATATATAAAGTAAGGTTCGGTGACGAAGCTGAGGTTCGTAATGTCGAGGCAAGATTAAAGGTGAGACACAAGTGGGTAGGACTGGACCCATAGCTAACATGGTTTTGAGTAATCAGCCGTCCACGTGTAGACGCGTTACTGTTGGCTTTTATTGACTTTCATTTTCGTTCCAATCCTGTTGGCTACTCACACTAAAAAGTAAATTATTATTCTCGCTATAAAATATCTTAAATTTGGTCGGAAGAGGATAAGGTAGGAAAACTAATCCAATATAAGCCCATTTATGACCTTATGGGCCTAACCCACTCATGATCTGTTTTACATCAAAAAAGGTAGTTCTCAGATTATGCTTTTACTATCCAGTTTGCTTATCTTCTTGCTAAATATATCTCAATTGTCATTATCATAACATGACTGATAAGATATATATACGGTGTTGTATCATGTAAGTACCAAAAGTAGATTCTAGCATTTACCTAACGTATGAGCTGTGCATTTTTGCAGGACATCAAATTTGAGAAGCTAATCAAAGTCAATGAAGAACCAAATTCTAAGGTAATCTATACAAGGAAACCAAGCTCCTTAAGCTGTAGAACAACCAGGATTATCGAAATGATCATTGATCTTTGTTGGCGTAGTTTTCATCTTCGTTGTTTTATAGCGAAACGGATTAGCAGATCATCTTTTCTTCTTTTCAGTAACCACATATGTTCAGTTTCTAATTAGCAGAGGCAAAGCTAGTAGATGAAGTAGCTCAGAGATAAGGACAAATCATTGGCGGGAAGGAAAATGTTGTAGTGAAGTCCAGGCCATTGCAACTTTCACATTGTGATTCAGCAGGGAGACTAAAAGTGTTACTGGTTTTGTTTCTGATCTAAAGTTTCTTTGAGTTGGATTTGAATGTGGTGACATCTTGATGCTGACTTTTAGATGCTTGTAAACATTGAAAAACATGAGCAGCCTTTTTAAAAGATTGGAACACAATACAAAAAAATTTTGGTTAAAAATGTAGTATGTATGTACATGAATATCTTCTCTTTTTTTTTTTAGTATAGATTGGTAGTAGGTAAGTGGGATATATATAATGTAGACAATTACATTATCTATTATGTGTACATCTAAATTATCATGACATCATAATGTGTCTAAGTCCAAAATACTCCATAAGACAAAATAAATTTTGATTTTTCAAAGAAGTAAGATACAAACAAAAAAAATCAGCATCACTACTTCACTAGATTTCATTCAGAACCCTAGAAAATAACAGGATAAACAACCAATCACTAATCTTTGTTGTCCAATAAATTAAGTTTTATGTATTACTAAAAAAAAAACAGACCAATTGTATATCTTGATTTTTCCAATTCATCTATATTATAATTACCAATTTCGACGAAAAAAAAAAAACAGAAATAATATCCCTGCAAAAGGCAGAAACCGCGTGAATCTTGTTTTAATTTAACATTTTTTAATTGGTAGTTTTCTAGTTTCATAATTTAATTTCCATTCATCGTATTGAACGCTAAGGTTATGGATAGAAACAAAAAGAATAATAACTGCAAAACGCGTTTTACTTAAAACACTCTCCTCTTTTCCTTTTTCTTCTCTTTCTCTATCGCTCTATAAAACTTTCCTTCACTTTTCTTCTGGATCTAAGGTTCGTGATCTCCTTCCTCTCTACCAAGTTTACGCTTTTCTTCAAAGGAGATCAAGAACAATGAGCCAGTACAATCAACCTCCTGTCGGTGTTCCTCCTCCTCAAGGTCTTCTTTCTTCTTATTTCGATTTTGGAAGTTTCGTTCGCTAGAATTGTTATTTTCTTAGATCTGCTTAATTTTTGGTTTTGTCCGATGGATCTGAATTTTTTTTGTGCTGAATTGTATCAATAGGTTATCCACCGGAGGGATATCCAAAAGATGCTTATCCACCACAAGGATATCCTCCTCAGGGATATCCTCAGCAAGGCTATCCACCTCAGGGATATCCTCAACAAGGTTATCCTCCTCCGTACGCGCCGCAATATCCTCCACCACCGCAGCATCAGCAACAACAGAGCAGTCCTGGGTTTCTAGAAGGATGGTTAGTCAATTAACACACTCTCCATTAAATTAATTAATCTGTTTTTATAGTTTGGATTTGACTATATTCCGTATCTGAATAATTCTTATGGTTTGACTTGATTCTTAGAAAAAAAGTCATGTGGTTTTAGCTAGAATATTCCTTTGTAGAGCTTGACTTTTGTGTGTTCTTATTGATAATTTTTTGTTCCTAAATAAAGATGGATTCTTTTTGTGTTCTCTATTCGTTCACTGATCACGGGGCGATAATTGTTCTTTGATGGCTTTACTTAGACTTAAGAGTGTGAATTGGATGTTGTTTTTGATGAATTTGCATCTTTTAGGATTTAACGTGTTTGCATGATCTAGCTACTGGTTACTTACTACATTGCATGTCTTAAAGCAACTGGATTTGTGATTGTGTTTTTGTTGTTATTGGTTTGGTAGTGTTTATGATTATTTGAAACTATACTTGTACAAGTTTTTGATAAGTAAATTGGCTTAGCAAGATGGATCCTTTTTGTGTTCTCTGTTCGTTCACCTATCACAGGATAATTTTTGCTCTTTGATGGCTTTACTTAAGAGTGTGAATCGGCTGTTGTTTTTGATGAATTTGCATCTTTTAGGATTTGACGTGCTTTCACATGATCTAGCTACTGGTTACTTACTACATTGCATGCTTTAAAGCAACTGGAGTTGTGATTGTGTTCTTGTTACTGGTTTAGGAGTGTTTATTTAATACTGATTGATAAATGTGAGCATTATTGTTTTTGCTTTTGCAGTCTTGCTGCTCTGTGCTGTTGCTGTCTCTTGGATGCTTGCTTCTGATTGGAGTCTCTCTCTCTCTGCATAAAAGCTTCGGGATTTATTTCTAAGAGGGTTTTGGTTAAACAAAAACCTTAATTGATTTGTGGGCATTAAAAATGATTCTCTCTCGTTTTATGCTGTTCTTCGGTTCACAACATTATCTATTGTCTGTCGACGTTCTGGCTTAGTTTGGATTTGATTATGGGAATGTAAATTGGTGGGGATACACTATTCTATGCCGTAGTTTATTGCTTTTAAAAAAAAAATCTATGCGTTCATAATACATATCTCAATAATCTCATCTATCATTGATTATTTCAATAGACAAGTTATTAGTTATAAAATATTAAACGTCATCGAAAGAAATATATTCGTTTCTCGTGGAATTTTCACTAAATGTATGGTCTCTGATCCACATGGGTTGGTTCCATTATTGCTGTTAGGTAATGGTTTTAATCAGGGAGAATAAAGATTAGTACGAAAGTAATATCGCAACTGTTATCAGGGGGGGATAATTAAAGATTAGTATGAAAAGTTATTGCAACTATAGTACACAGATGTATAAAATATAACTTGTGTAAAATCATGTTTGTGCTCATTGTATTACAAACATCAAAATATCAATCACAAAAATCTATTTAAAAAATCCAAACAACATAACATCAATACAGTCGAGACTAAACAAACAAGTAAAGCTTAATTGGTGAAGTCACAATTATGACTTATGAGAGGAAGATTCAAGAAACGTAGAAGGATCAGGCGACCCACACCGCTTTGTTTCGCCGTTGACATAAAGAATCAAACCACTTTGGTTCTTTTCTGCGACAACAATCGCCTTCTCGTTCTTAAATCCATATGTCGACACTAATTGAACACAAGGTTTGGTCTTCTCTACACACTCTACTCGACTTGGCTTCGGATAATAGAAATCCGTTGGGAAAAAATTGAACTGAAGGAGACCCGACATTGAATTTTGTAAATCAAATCGAAACTCAGCAACTTTGTGAATGTGTGTATAAAAATATTACTCTTGCGTTCATGTTCCTTTTATTGCTTTATATATAGGAAGAAAAGGGTTAAGTGTGATTTGGGACATTGAAGTTTCTTGGGCTCTACGAATTTTGCTTGAGGAAAAAGTCTAGATTGGTTAGGGTTTGACAGGTCTTTAAACTGCCTTTGCCAATTTGACATTAAAACTCATCTAGAACCAACTAGAAGAATAAAGCAACTTTGACTTCCAATTGTTTCTTTATTTATGGAAATATTCCATATCAATTTACTCTCATTTTCACAACTTCCCTTATTTAAAATTGGAAACCACATGAATAAAGAATATAACAGCCCTCATCTGATCCCCAATTAACAACCAAAAAAAAAAAGAGAGTAAAACGACTGACTTGAATATGATTATGTTGTGACTGCTATCTGTTATGGTGCCAAATTGATGATTGCTGGGATATTGAGATTTGTGAACGACTGTGATGTTAGTAATGAAGTTGTATTAGTGACCATTAATGATGAGCTCTGTTTTAGTGTTTTGGCTTTTTGGAGCATGTCATTGGTTTTTGCATCTGTTTCAGTTTGGCAACGAGGATAAAACGACATCTAATACAAAAATTGGGCTCAAGTCATATCGCACCCTTCTTGAGGTTTAACAATCGTGCAAGAGCGTCTTGAGGAGGAATTGTTGCAATGGACGGTTACTTTGTTTACAAGTTATATACCTTAGGATCTGTTTTGATGTTGTTGCAACTTGCAACTTGCGACTGAATCTTTTGATGTTCATAGATCTGAATCATTAAAGTCATGATGATCACAAGATAGTTGTTTAGTTAAAAGCTTGAAGGAAGAGGTGCACTGTTGACAAAGTTCAATATCTAGCTTGCAAAATGTTTAAACTACTATAAAGAAGTTCAAGATATTAACCGAAATAGTTGGAAATCTCAAAGAGCGTGATCGAAAAAAAGATTTATGGAATATATTATCTTTAAATACTGTATCACCTAATTTAAGCTTCTCTATGTCCTATATATAGAGAGAGATTAAGCTTTGGATGTTACACCAACTCAGAAAGATAAGTAAGAAGCACAAATTCATTCAAACCATGAAATCATCCCATGCATCTCTCGTCTTCATACTATTGCTCTCTCTATTTGCTCTACATCAATGTATGTACAAGTTGTCTCATATATAATATTTACCAAATATCTCTTTATTTTAGAGTCATCAAAGTTGGGTTGATGTGTGTTTCAAATTAATGTGTAGGTGTGAGGTTACAAAGATCGAACAAAATCGATATGTCTGTATGCGTCCATGACATTTGCGGCGGTGTTTTCGACGGAGGCTGTTATTGCTGTCCCAAAACGCCAGCTCTTTGCTGGGCAGACAACCAATTCTGCACCACCTATTGTCACGCTCAAAGTTAAAACCTTAAATAAACTGATCTGGAGCTAGTTGTCCCATTTCAAATCTATAGCTAACCTATTGTCATCTATGTTTGCATCTGTTTGGCAACAAGAATAAGAGATACTCCTAATTTCACATATTGGGTCCAAGTCACATTGCCCCCTTCTTGAGGTTTAAAGATCTTGTGAAAGGATGTTGAGGTGGAATCGTAGTCATTATGTGTTTCCTTAGTTTATAAGTAATATACCATAATATTTGTTGTGATGTTTTTTCTGTTTTATAATCGGGGAATCTCATAAATTCAGACTTACTGAGACATGTGATAAGCTCTTGCCATTTAAAACGTCCAGTTGCCTACTATACTATGATTCAAATCGTAGTACAAAGAGCCGAAACTCTAGTCTCCAATTCCATGCTGATCTTTCATCCACTAGATCATATAGCTTGATCCCTATCTAAGAACAATGCACGCATAATATATTAAAAGAAAAAAAAAACGATCCTTATCTAAGAAAAATGCAGGCATAAATCAAAAACGTTTTGATGTTGTTACAACTAATGCTTACTATTCTAATGTTTGATGTATATGAATCACCAAATATGTATAATGTTTTTCATCTTTGAAATCTCGCACAATTCTCGGAGATGGAAGAGAATCCAAAACTGCAACATCGATGAAGCAATCACTTAAATTTTCCAGGGGACAAGAGAGTTGTTTAGTCAGAAGCTTAAAGTAAACGTTTCAATTTGGACAAAGGCCTAGCTTGCAAAAAAGTTACACTAGAGATATAAAGGGACTTAAGTTTCATAAGACGCACTACTTGCCTACTTGGCCACTTAATTCCACATTACTACATTTCTTTTTTCCCGACCATAACATACATTTAGCCTTAGAAAAGTTTGTTCAAATACTGAGACGGCAACAAAACAAAAACTTTATAGATTTGCCTCGTATCATTCTAGAATGATAAGTGCAAAAATTTTATAATATCTTCGAATGTCAAGGATAAAGTTATGAACTATTCGGCTGTATCAAATTTTGTTATCAGTTCTACATACAAATCATTTTTTAACAAAGACGGCCCAAGTAGTGCGTCTTACGTTCTGTAGATATTTTTCTATTTTTTATAGCCGAAAGTGTTGAATATTTTTTTGCTAATGCTTTCAAAACTTTTAGTTCATATATCCTTTAACGGAAAAAGAACACACAACGTGTTTGGCCACGCCGAGGTTTAGCACTAAAAAAGGCTCATGCAAATGTTGAGAAATTTACACCATAGGCTTTTTTTGAAAATATTGATTTTTTTTAATTGACTACTAAAAGAAAACCACAATTTTCTTACTGATATGCTATCGCGTGTCACGAAAAAGAGATTGAACCAAACTTTACGCTAAGTACAAATTAAACCATAATAAAATAAAACCATCATCGAAATTCCGCAACGATTAAAATAAAATAAAAAGAAAATTAGGTTCATGAGTCTTGACTAGACGACCACTCCACCTGCAATTCTGTGACGATGTCAGAAACCATAACTATGAATCTAATCAACAAAAAAAACACAAAACAAAATCCTATGTAGTAATCAGACAATTACATTTTTGTTTCTTTACTCAACTATTCATCCCCCCGTTTAAGAAAAATCAACTTAAAAACCACTAGATCATTTTGATATATTTGTTTCCTACCCGATAGATACGTTCAAACTATTTTAAAAAACGGCATATGTATGACAAAATAAAAACGGAAATACATATATTTTTAAAAAGGAAATGAATTGGATATACATAGTAGTAATAAAAGTAATCTAACTAATCAAAGAAAATAATAAAATTCCATATAAAATAAAATAAAAGAAGAATGAAAAATGAATGAATGATAGTGTTAAGTATCAAAAAAACACCAAACCACTTCTCTCCTAAGGAAGCTTCGTGGAAGCTGCCATGGCTTCTCTCTTTCTCTCCCCATTTAATACCCTCCTTCCTCGTTCTTTCCTCTCAACAAGAAGAAGAATCAATACTCAAATCTCTATCATCTCTCTTTATCTTTATCTTCTCCGATATGAAGCTCGCCGCTAGCCTCAACCGCCTCAGCCCCAAACGTCTCTTCCGTTCCAAATCAAAAGCTTCCGTCTCCAGATCTGAGCCTTCTTCCTTCAGCTCCAATGCTTCTTCCTCTTCCTCTGATGGATCGTACGGTAACCTCAAACAAGGTCCAACCGCGACTCCGATCAGTGTTCTCCCTCAAAACTCCGGTGATTTTTACACTGAGCTTATTCAAGCGTTTAAATTGATCGATCGTGATGATGACGGTGTTGTTTCCAGAGGAGATCTCGCTGCGTTGATTAGCAGGTTAAGTCCTGAACCACCGAGTCAAGAAGAGGTGAGTTTGATGCTAAGAGAAGTAGACGGCGGAGACGGTGGTTGTATCAGCCTTGAAGAGCTTGCTAGCCGCGTCGCTGGTACTTCCGGTGAAGGATCTGTTGAGACGGAGGAGCTGAGAGAGGTGTTCGAGATTTTTGACGTGGATCGTAACGGGAAAATATCGGCGGAGGAGTTACACAGAATTTTTGGAGTGATCGGAGATGACCGGTGCACGTTAGAAGAGTGTATGCGTATGATAGCGACGGTTGATGGAAACGGTGACGGTTTTGTTTGCTTCGAAGACTTTTGCCGCATGATGGCTCCAGCGATGAATGATCATCATCATTAGAATCATGTTTGATTGATGATTGTGACATCACTATGCTCTCTGTCTTTTTTTTTTTCTATTGAAAAATTATTTATTTTACTGTTTTTGCGGTGGTTATTGTGACGGCAAGCACTTAAATTGTTCACCGTCGGTTTAAATTCAGACGTCTCTCTTTCTCTAAATGGTTATATACTAGTAATATGAACATGTTTCTAGTTTCACTCTCCCGTTGGTTAAAAACAAACTAGTTTCCTCGAAAAGTATATTATCCTATGGTTGAAAAATGCAACTTTAGCTTTTTTCCTAACAAACATGTTAGTATTATGTCTTAGCTATACTTTTTTTTTTTTTGTGAAAACGTCTTAAAAAATCTAACATTAGTGAATCCATTTTGGAGAGTTTGTTTAAAATTGTTGAATTAACTTGTTTTTATATCCAAAACATAATTTTAAAAAAAAAAAAAAAATTTCCTTTAACTTCAAAATGCGTTAATGGTGGCTAAAAATGAGCTAACATGTAGGTGAGAAGGAGAAAGACTCGATCTCCGCTAAATCACTTGAAAAATCCTTACCACCCAAATCTACCGATTAGCTCTCTACAGTCGCATGCATTATCTGTCTAATTTTTTTTTTTTGACTAATCCTTAATCATCTCTATCCAATAACAATCCTCGAGATTGAGATAATTAAGGATTCAACTACTATGACTACATCATATATGTTGGTCGACGTTCTAATTAGATTTTTTCTTTTTATTTTGGTCAACCAATCTAACTTCATGCATCTAATCAACGAATTTATTTTTACATGTTCTAACGATGTTTGATTGGTCTACACATTTAGGTACAAAATTCAGATTAAAAAGAAATAAAAATAAGGGAACATTTTGGAGGGACTATGTCCACAAACATTGTCAAGAGTAAGTGCGCCAACCAACTGTACTCCACTCGACCCGTGGCCTAGGGAGTTATGGACCCTCCCCATCTCCAATGTTTCTTCCTCTTTTTTTTCTTTTGGTAAAATTCGAATCTCTATTAACCTTTTACAAGTAATTATTTACTCTAAATCCTATTGATTCCGCCGAATTCTAAATTGGAAGTAAACGAAAGATACATGCACCACAACAAACGCCGAGTCTTGCTCGAATCCTAACCACACACATACGTGTAGAATGATCGGACCACCACAAGATTTGTTTATTAGTTGGTTAGTAAATAGACTTTATCAATGCATTAAATTTTTATGACGCAACGCGTTGATGCATGATTGCACTAAAGAATCAAAACCCTGCCGGGAGTATAAATGCTTTCTAAGAATTTTTTAATGTTACGGACGACAGAAATAATTTGAAAGTATAGTTTGATTCCTATTATGAAGTTTTTATGAGATTCTGTTGATTAAAATAAGGTATACTTCACATGGCACTCTTTATTTAGTCAGCGATTGGTACTTCCCATGAGATTAATAACTCTCGGTAAAAATGTTTCAATTGCAACTTTTACTTCAATTTCAAATACTCTTATTTCAGTATATAAATTTCAAACAAGATGTGAAGATGATATGATAGATTTTTTTTTTGCACCTCTCAATTATTGTGGTATTTTTGGATTTGTCGATCCATTAGAAATGACTTTTCATATAGATACAAGTTTGAAAATTCTTGGGATGCTTCCTCGTCTGCACACGCATATATACACACATTTGTATACATGGCCGCTTGTAATATCTTCCAAATTATACGAACTGTGAACGTTTTGGCATTTTGTTGGACAGAAAAAGTCACGAAACATCATCAAAACGTTGATAGGTATGTTCCTTTCATTGTTGTTGCCTAGTTGGTGTCAAACAAAACAACAGTGATCAAATGCTATATGTGCTGTCTTTGGGCCTTTTGGGCCCATTCGTAAAAGTAAACCTATACAAATTTCCGTGCAACTCAACTAACCCTAGGGGTTTTTCTTTGGGAAAATGTTTCTCAGCTACGCCAACAATACGTCATCACATCGTCACACATGCAGACAAAGAAAATGTTGCGACAACTACACCAACTACTGCAATCACATAACGACATGCACGAACTAACATGAGTTATGGTGCCAACACCATAAACATACATTCCGGTACCGTTCCGGTGAAAGACGCGACAGAATCCAGCACCGGAGATATCCAATTGTAAACCCGACCCAAATTAAAAAAAAAAACAAAAAAAGGCCAAAATTAAATAGAACCCGACCCATAACTCGTGATAAAACCCAACCCAAAATAATTAAAACTACCGTAAATTAACACAAGAATGTTGATTCTCTGTTCTTAGTCTGGTTTCGAGAGCTTAGAAGTGAGGTGTGTTGAGAAAAAGAGATTTCTAAATCTTTGTAAGAATATAGCTAATTCTCGGATTTCATCGGGTTTGAAACAGGTATGTTGTAATTTGATTTCTTAAGAATTAGTGAGAATAGATTTGAATAGATTTACTCGATGAGTATAATGGGACAGATTTGCGTGTTGATTGTTGTAATGGAAAGGATTTCGTATTTATTTTGGTTGTAATTGAACATGAAATTGATGCAGATCAGTTGTTTGTTGAAATGTTTAAAAGAAGAGTTTTGTTGTCTGATTTTTTGCAAGATGGATACAAGTAGTGGGTCATCTAGTTTGAGTAGATCGTCTAGAGCTCTAAAAAAGTGTAATTGTGGATTGCCTGCGAAGATATACAAACCCGACAAAACCCAGAAAAAATCACAGACAATATCAACAATAAGTTAAAATCCAAAAACCCCAATGTCGGGATCTGTTTCGACTTTATACACCCAAATCAACCCAGAAAACTTGAGTTCTTACCTCATTGGAACGAGATTCCGTTACGATTCACTCTCTAAGCTTTAATCGTGACAATATTGGAGAAGAAATGTGGCGATTCGAAAAGTCCCTCTTCTACGCTCATGAACCCTAAATCGCAAAGAGAGAGTTTGATTATGGTCTCGGTAATTACGTTTGTTGTTGTTAAATTAGTGTTGGGCTGGGTGTAGGCCCAATTAGTTTCTAGTTGGGTTTTTATTAACTCGGGTTGGTTTTTAATTGTGTCTGGGTCGGGATTTAATTATTTGGGTCGGGTTTACAATTGGGTATCTCCGGTGCCGGATTCCGTCGCGTCTTTCACCGGAATGTATGTTTATGGTGTTGGCACCATAACTCATGTTAGTTTGTGCATGTCGTTATGTGATTGCAGTAGTTGGTGTAGCTGTCGCAATATTTTCTTTGTCTGCATGTGTGACGATGTGATGACGTATTGTTGGCGTAGCTGAGAAACATTTTCCCTTTTTCTTTCTGCACCATGGACAAGCCGGCGAGCAGCAAAGTAATCATGAATAAGGAGCAACTGCTTTGGTTCGTTGAAAACAAGCGGAAGCATGATTACCGTAAGGATTCTTCTTCCCGTTGAAACCGAATCCTATCTCGAGCTCTCAATGGACAAGACAGAGAGCAGCAAAGCAATCATGAGTATGGAGGATTGCTTACTCGCCTCCAACGAGATTATTTCTGCGTTTATTGCTTCTCAGGATAAGATGATGGCTGAGCAGGATTCAGCCGCTGGAGATGGGAGCACCCCGAGTATTTAAGTCTTGGGCTTTGATTGGGCCTATCAGATTGAAGAATGAAAAACCTAGACTGATGTAGACGTATCTTATTTACATTATTGCCATCATCTCTATATATATAAATTTAATAATTAGATCCCCGGGAAAGCTGGAACTACAAAACAATGAAACATGAACACGGCACGGGTCTCTTAAAACGTCGACTTCTGTCACGGTCCCATTTCTTATCTACACGACCCACTCTTTTTTTCTAAAAGAAAAAAAAAAAAAAATCTTTTTGGGCATGACCACAAAGTGTTCGACGAAATGCCTAAGACCATCCGTAGTGGTGTAAGTGTGAGGGAGGGGTGTAAGATTTTTTTTATTTTTATAATTTAAAGTGAGAGAGAAAAGAGAGAGAGAAAGAAAGAGAGAGAGATAGAGTGTCTTACACCCGAGTGTAAACTTACACCCGGGTGTGAAGAGAGAGACAATTTTTGCATTATTTCTGTATTTTAAAATAGATACACCCCACGCAAGAATACACCACTGCGGATGCTCTAAGAGAGAGATATCATCAATTCAGACACGATCTTCTCCAACTCTTCCGATCAACAAATAAATCGGAAACCTAACAACTTTCTTCTCCTTTCCATCTTCTTTCCACGAATCAGCAAATTCTCCTTCCATCTCCTCCGTTAAAAGCTCTAAACCTTTCTCCTTAGCCGTCTGATACGCCGAAGATGACCTCAGATAAGTCATATACTCTTCAAACACCATTTCTTTCTCCGTCACGAACCTAACCGGAAAACTTTGACTTTCCGTTGACTCATCATTATCAACTTTCTCGAACGGGAACTCAATCCCTCTGTACCCATCCTCCACAAGCCGCCTCGCTTTATCCCAATGAGGGCCAAGTTTCTCATCGTAAAACCGCCGGAAAACCTTGTCCACGGCGGCGTTAACCTCCGGATTGGTGTAGCACCAGGCGGCGATTACTCCGTTGGGTTTCTTGAGCACGTGTTTCACGTTGCTATAAAAGTTGGTGAGGTCGAACCAATGAAGGGCTTGTGCGACGGTGACTAAATCGACTGATGATTCAGGTGCTACTAGCTTCTCTATCTCCGATGAAGACATCGTCGGTGGAGTGATCTCGTAACGGACGTTGGGAAGCTTTGCAGCAAATTCAAGTTGCTTTGAACTTGTGTCGGTAGCAATCACGTTCTTGTAGATTCCGGCTAGCTGCAAAGAAGGACAAAATCAAAATTAGTTCAGGAGAAATCGTATTCGAAATCGAAATCAATATCGAATGAATCTGTCCCAATTGATATTGAATCCAGAGTCTATCAAACTTATCAATTTTGTGTCAAAAGTGTATCAAACCCAAACATGATATAGAATTTTGAATCAAAATTTGAAGACCAACACGAAAATTGTAAGTTTATTTAGAAATTGAAGAACGTTATTATACCCATCGTGAGGCTTGGCCGCTTCCGGCGCCGACGTCCCAAGCAAGGTCGTGGCACGGTGTTTTCGATGCGATATATTCGAAGAGTTTGGTCGGGTAACTGGG